ATTTTATAATTTCTTATGTATAACATTTTTGTTTCATGAAATTTATATTTATTCTAGATTCAATAATTAAATATTAAAATAATTTTTTTTTATTAATAATAATCATGTTTTATACATTTTTGTTTCATGAAATTTATATTTATTTTAGATTTAATAATTAAATATTAAAAATAAAAAAATCTTTATTAATAATAATCATGTTTTATGTAAATAAAACCAGTGTTATTTATAACCAACTATTGGCTATCACTCGTCATTAAATAGATATTTTATATAATATTGTGGACAACCCAGATACATATTCACTGTAAAAAAAATCAAAGTATGAAAAATCATGTATGCTAGTAAAAAGATGTCTTTGATTAATTTTTTTCTTCTCCACCAACAATCTAGCTGTAACTTTTCAGCTTCAACACTGTTTATATCGTATAAAAAGTTTTATTTAATTTATGTCAATGTAAATCTTAATTTTATGTAAAATCAAAAGACGTTTAAAGGTCCTAAAGTGTTTAATTTTTAGAATCTGTTATTTTTAATAAAAAAAAATAAAAACTTATATACATTAATAAATGTTAAAATATTTTATGACTCTAGTTAAAGATTGAGCAAGCAATTTGAGACAAAGATGCATATTAAAACACTCGATCACTATATAAGGAACTCTCCCAAAATTTTGTATTTAACTATACAGTAATAAAATTATTTTTGATAAAAAAAATTATTATTTCAACTTTTTTTGAAAAAAAGAAGAAACAAACGCAAGAATCTCATCAAAAAATAAATATTAAATTGATTGATATTTGATGAAATAACATCTCAAATATAATTTTATTTTTTTCAATTATAATTAAATTTAATTAAACTCAAAGAAAAAATAAACAATTATCAAATGTTGCATTAAAAGAGCTCTCACTAATACGTGTGTGTGTATTATAAACATAATTTTATTTTAAAACAAATTTAGACCTAGATGGCATTTAATGGAATAATCTTCCAAAATAATAATCTTAGTTATTCTATTTAAATGAATTTTAATAAAAATATTTTAAAAATAAAGGGTTTTAAGAAGGAGCCCAAAAGTCTGGGCATGGTTGACCTGTTCCAAAGCCGAAAAAATAAAGGCAAGCGCGTGCCCCCCTAAAAGGGCAGGCCCTGTACCCAATCCATTTAATTTATTATTAATTTTTTTTTTGCCAAGTTCGGCATGTAGCACATTTTCTGCCCCACCATTTCTTTCCAAACAAGCAGACAACACGTTGTCTCCAATTCTACTTCTAGCCACCTTAGGTCTTTGGAAGGTTGGGTCTGGTTCCTAAGGTTTGCCACTGGGGGATGGACAGAGCTAGTCCTTTATTGATTGGAGACCTGGGTTATAAAGGATTTTCTGACAAATTATTTGGTTTAAAAAAAATTAATTTCCAACTATTTTAACTCAAGAAACACCAACAAATTATTTCAAAGACCTAAATAAATCCATTTATAATATTAAATTATTTAAAATTAATTAAAATACCAAAAATCAATGCAAATTCAAAAAATATTTTGAATTCATATCCATCTTCTTAAGTAAGATAAAGATTAAAGAACACCACAAAATATCTCTTATCATAAAATAAAACTCGTAAACACTGAAAATGATCATTTTCATTGTTAGTCTAATGTGAGTGGGCTTCTAGAAAAAACAAAACCTAGATATGTATTTTTTCCTAACCAAACCCGCTTTCACAGGCCTTATTTTATTTTATTTTTATTTTTATAAAATCATCTATCCTTTTTTAAAAAATAAAAAGCAAATGATAGGTCATTTGCTTCAATGAATAACATTTTGTTTCATTCCTATAATTTAACCACTACATAAATAGACAAAAAATCAAGAGGTAACCACTACATAAATAGACAAAAAATCAATAGACAAAAAATCAAGAGAGATGATTTTTGGATTCATATCTATCATTTCAAGTTGGATGAAGACCAAAAAACATCTTAATAGTTCTCTTGTCGAACAAAATCCTTTGACCTTGGGATCAATATTTTTTTATAATCAAAATCAATGTTAATAGACCATTTTCTCTTTTATTATCGTTTTCATGCGAGTTTTTCTTTTCTCCTTCTAATTTAATGACTAAAAAAAATTGAAACAAAATAAAAATTATTGCTGATATGAGGTAACTAGATATTTTCTTTGTATTTTATTTTTTAATCATCTAAGTTTAAATTATTTATGTTTACTATAATTTGCAACCTAATTTCTTTTGATCAGACTATAAAATAGTTTGATGGAAAGAAAAAAGTTAGAAAATATAAAAATTATCTAATTCACTAGTTATATAAATAATAAAATAGTTGAGTCATGCTCAATTATTTTAGTTTGTAGTGTGATTATTATTTGTTAATGATAGTGATAGTGGTTATTTTTTAGATATTTTTTATTTAAAGATATATTAAAATAAAAAATTATTTTTAATATCAACATATTAAAATAATTTAAAATTATAAAAAATCAACTTAAAAAAATACTTCTAAGATATAAAAACAAATATTTTCACAACAAACGTTCACCATTTGAATTTACCCACGAGTTGCTCCTCGATAAAAGAACCAGGAACTGATAAATCATTAAGGTTGCATATCACTAGGAAACTGACCTGTAGCTAGCTAGATCGCAAAACAGGAACCATGGCGCATATTGCACGTTTCTCGCACGGGCCTTGCAGACTATTTCTAAACCACGAAATGGATTCCTCCGCGTGTGAATGTAATATTCCGAGGAAAACAAGAGAAAGTGATGGAAGACGATGAATATTTCCATACATAACAGTAGAAAGTTACCAAATGGCTGCCTTTTCGTTCCAGTTACACATGTACTCCGGTGGATTTTGTTCGGAAGTGGATAATATTGAATTCGGAACGTAGGAATCCCAGCCCAAATCCAACTGGACTTTCTTCTTGTTGCTGTTTAACAAGGTCTTAGCAAGATTCGTCCAAATAATTACAACTCCATCTGAATAAATAAGTGTTCATTACATGTTGGAAATCAGATTCTAGCTACAGTTTCTGATCGTGACATGGAAGAAAGAATACATTACCTGTGCTTTCCTCGTCACGCTATTCTTTTCCCACTCTGGTTTCGACTTTTCATACTTTACCCGGTTCCAAGATTCGAAAGTGAGAAAATAGGATTTGCATACAAATTTCAAAGTATTTTAAAAAAATTGAGATTTTTTAATTATTTTTTCTTTACTTTTTTTTTGTTTTCTATATTATTTTGATATTCTGATTAAAAAATAATTTTAAAAAAATAAAAATTATTATCTTAATATATTTTTAAGCAAAAAATAATTTCAAAAATAACCGTTACCACACTTCCAAACCTTATCTTTGATTATTTGATCGAAAGCATTGATTATAAGAAAAATCCATGAAAATTAATTATTGACAAATCAAATATTAAATGATAAGTTTTTTAAGGATCAATCATATAAAAGAATTCAAAAGAAAATACAGTAATTAAAAGCAAAAAAACAGATATGAGTCCACCCAGACTAACCCCAAAACATATTGGCTAGATTATAAGATTAAAATAACCTTGTAAAAACAAAAATAAAGAGAATCATGAATTCTAATTATTTTTAAAAATCAATATAAATTAATGAGATTAAGAAAGAAAATAAATGAAAAAATCAATGTGAATTCATACTAGTTTATAGAATATGTGACTCGGGTCATTTGATTAGAAACACTGAACTTAGAAAAACAAAAAAAATTTAATTTTAATAAATTAGGTGTTAATGGATAAAATTAAAACAAGAGGGGATTCAAGAAAAAAAAAACAAATAATGAAATGAGGACCAAACTTGAAATAAATAAATAAAATTCTAGATAAAAAAATAAAAAATAATAGAATGAGGATCAAATCTGAAAAAATAAATAAATAAGAGGATGAATAATCTTGGCTTTAATGACTATCCCACAAAAGAACCAGGAAAAAACCACCAAAAGAATGAGCACCAAATTAAAAAAATTAAAAATTAAATTTTTTTAACTAGAAGATAAAATTGAAAATAATTTAAATTCAACACGATAAATTAAATTTTTTTAACTAGAAGATAAAATTGAAAATAATTTAAATTCAACACGATAAATTAAATTTTTTTAACTAGAAGATAAAATTGAAAATAATTTAAATTCAACACGATAAATTAAATTTTTTTAACTAGAAGATAAAATTGAAAATAATTTAAATTCAACACGATAAATTAAATTTTTTTAACTAGAAGATAAAACTGAAAATAATTTAAATTCTACACGATTGCCCTAAACCAACCCCATGATCTTTTTTTTTTAAGCATAATATTAAATTAATATCAATGTGTTTATATAGCTTTAAAATAATTCT